GATCTGAGCGGTATTCCCACGAAATGTACACTCAGACCCCAGCTATCTACCGAACGTCCATTCGTTTAAATAAAATTGCCAAAGTTATATATTTTAATGTGAAATGCCGGTTCTGCTGCATGGAGGGATAATCCACTTAACGGTATATTCCAGTGGGAGTATCCCTCTCGTCCAGCAGTGCCTGATGGGAGAAATGCCCAGAATGTTAAGTCCCCCATGTAGTCCCCTACTTTATTACCCCTGCTATGTCAGTAGGGAAACCCCTTGCATGGGGACTTGCATAAATACTGGATGCTGTGAATAAAAACCTCAGTTGACTCCCAGAACTGTGTTTCGTCCGGTTACTGGGGGACTTGGGATATTGCCTTACTTTTCAGCGCTTGACTGTGGATTACCTTCTGTACCAGCGGAGATCGTGGAATTTAATATTGCAGCTCCGCTACAATTTATAGTGATACTGAGGTTGAATATACAGAGATACTGAGAGTGTATATACAGAGATAATGAGAGTGTATATAGAGAGATACTGAGGTTGTATACAGAGATACTGAGGTTGTATATACAGAGATACTGAGAGTGTATATACAGAGATACTGAGGTTGTATATACAGAGATACTGAGGTTGTATACAGAGATACTGAGAATGTATATACAGAGATGCTGAGGTTGTATACACATGGATACTGAGGTTGTATATACAGAGATACTGAGAGTGTATATACAGAGATACTGAGGTTGTATACAGAGATACTGAGGTTGTTATATACAGAGATACTGAGGTTGTATACAGAGATACTGATGTTGTTATTTACAGAGATACTGATGTTGTATATACAGAGATACTGAGGTTGTTATATATAGTGATACTGAGGTTGTATATACAGAGATACTGAGGTTGAATATACAGAGATACTGAGGTAGTATATACATGGATACTGAGAGTGTATATACAGAGATACTGAGGTAGTATATACAGAGATACTGAGATTGTATATATATAGATACTGAGGTTGTATACAGAGATTCTATATACAGAGATACTGAGGATGTATACAGAGATAATGAGTGTATATACAGAGATACTGAGATTGTATATACAGAGATACTGAGGTTGTATACAGAGATAATGAGAGTGTATATACAGAGATACTGAGGTTGTATATACAGAGATACTGAGAGTGTATATACAGAAATACTGAGGTTGTATACAGAGATGCTGAGGTTGTTATATACAGAGATACTGAGGTTGTATACAGAGATAATGAGAGTGTATATACAGAGATACTGAGGTTGTATATACAGAGATACTGAGAGTGTATATACAGAAATACTGAGGTTGTATACAGAGATGCTGAGGTTGTTATATACAGAGATACTGAGGTTGTATACAGAGATAATGAGAGTGTATATACAGAGATACTGAGGTTGTATATACAGAGATACTGAGAGTGTATATACAGAAATACTGAGGTTGTATACAGAGATGCTGAGGTTGTTATATACAGAGATACTGAGGGTGTATATACAGAGATACTGAGAGTGTATACAGAGATACTGAGGTTGTTATATACAGAGATACTGAGGTTGTATATACAGAGATACTTAGAGTGTATATACAGAGATACTGAGAGTGTATACAGAGATACTGAAATTGTATATACAGAGATACTGAGAGTGTATATACAGAGATACTGAGGTTGTATATACAGAGATACTGAGAGTGTATATACAGAGATACTGAGGTAGTATATACAGGGATACTGAGAGTGTATATACAGAGATACTGAGGTTGTATACAGAGATACTGAGAATGTATATACAGAGATACTGAGAGTGTATATACAGAGATACTGAGGTACAGTATCTGAGGTATACAGAGATACTGAGGTTGTATATACAGAGATACTGAGAGTGTATATACAGAGATACTGAGAATGTATATACAGAGATACTGAGAGTGTATATACAGAGAGATACTGAGATAATGAGATACTGAGGTTTATTATATAGAGAGAGATTCTGAGGTAGTATATACAGAGATTCTGAGATACTGAGGTTTATTATATATAGAGATTCTGAGGTGTAAATCACATTCACTTTGTTAAGCATGCTTTGCTTTTAGCATCAGAGTATCCAGAGGGGAGTGTTCAGGAACGTCAGAATTGGAAATGCCATTCAGCCCAATGAGCTGGGAGTTCCTCCTGCAGACTGGCTGCCTGTGGTATTAAAGCTGCTCGGTGACCTGTACAGAGATACAATGTATCGATAGTATTGACAGGATCCCAACATTCCACCTCTGACCATGCGAGCAGACTGTGAGTGTGGCGCTCAGGGCAGCTCCCTCTCTCACCTGGAGTAAATCACCAGCCTCTCATGCCTTTATCTCTCCTGGACTGGGGAAAGTAACACATTGTAGTGATGGTGTCCCATCTCACGTGTCTTCTTCTGCTGGGATTGATCGGCATTTCCAAGAAGTCTGAAGGTTTGCCTTTCAATAGCAGCTTGAAGGAACCTTTCCAGATCCCCAACATCACTGGGTTTTTCTCCTGGAATAACTACAGCCTGGCTGACTGGCAGAGCTTTGTGGGCAAGAAACGCTATGGAGCAGAATCCCAAAACCCCATGGTGAAAGCCCTGCTTATCGTGGCTTATTCCTTCATCATCTTCTTCTCTCTGTTTGGGAATGTGCTTGTCTGCCATGTGGTTATCAAGAATAAGAGAATGCATTCAGCAACCTCCTTATTCATCATAAACTTGGCAGTGGCTGACATATTAATAACTCTCCTCAACACGCCTTTCACCTTGGTAAGGACTTCGATTAACACAAAACTCCTTTAGCAGAACTATAATATGCTTTAACATGTGCTTCGTATACTGTGTACTTGCATAGACGACTATCCTTGGAATCAGAGCTTTCATGGTGTGTTTTTAAATGTACATTTCTACTGAATATCTTGTTGATGGTGTCAGACCATGGAAGCATTTGTAGAAATAAATATTGAGGTTTATTATGTATGATAGAATTGAGACCAAAAGAGCCCTATCCAGGTTTAATATTCCAGTTATAAAATGTATAGATCATGGGCAAAAATCTGGGGGGAGAATTCTTAAATCGGCACTAATATACGAATGACTACAAGGCCCATCATCCTTGGGATAATAATGACATTTTGTATCATTTTGAACATTGGGGAGACTGCAACAGCTGGAGTTTCAGTGTCGGGTATAACTTTATTACATTAACATTATTACACTCAGGTTACATCAGTTCTGCTCACTTTCTGTGTCTCTCCACCTTTTACTTGGGTCTATATACTGTGCTGTTGAATACCAGGTAAGTGAACACAGGGTTGGCACTCAGAGGGTTAAATACTTATTATGTATATATATAAACAAAAGGTAGGATATCTGTCCAAACAGTGAGTCAATCATAAATGAATACATAACTTGACTTTATGTCCCTTCTTAGATTAGGAGTTAGGGAGACCTGTTTTAATTTGATGTGGATATTTATACAATTAAAGTGCTACCTTCATGTTTATATCAGCAACATATGTCACGGCTTTGTACAATGAGTAACTAAAGATACAAGTAGTTTGGGCTGTTTGTGGATTCAGAATTCCCAAACTGTCTATTATGTTTCAGGTGGAGAACAGCTATAGAAAAGCCAGGAGAGCAGATTCCTGGTCTTCAGAGCTTGCATGCTGCGTATATCTTAATGGTAGGCATATGCAATTCATAGAACTCTTACTATTATGTTTCCCAAATCTCATCATCCTAACTTGAAAAAAAATAAATGTCTAACTGACAAGTCACCACCACTCTGTCCCCAAATATCTGCTTCCAGGTTGTTAAAAAAGTAACAGGGCCACCACTTCACAGACTGCTAAATACACACACAGTCCGCTAAATACACACACACACAAACATACACACAGTCCGCTGAATGTGGGGGGTGGTGGTGATGTGTGTGTGGAGAGGTAGGGGTGCTGTGTGTGTGGAGGTAGGGGTGCTGTGTGTGGGGGGGGTAGGGGTGCTGTGTGTGTGGGGGGATGGGGTGCTGTGTGTGGGGGTAGGGGTGCTGTGTTTGGGGGTAGGGGTGCTGTGTGTGAGGGGTTAGGGGTACTGTGTGTGTGGGGTTAGGGGTGTTGTGTGTGGGGGGGGCTGAAGACACATTACTTTTTTTTATTTTTTTTAAACATATTGAATCAGTAAACCCCCCCCCCCACCTTCTTCTTACCTTTGGTGAAGGGGAGGGGGGGAACACAGCCATCCCTGGTGGTCCGGTTGTGTGTAGGACAGGAGTACAGGTCCTGCAGCTCTCCTGCCTGTCCTCCCGCGCGATGCTATGTGGAGCGTTGCCATGGTAACGCGTGGCAACGCACCACACAGCTCGTTGGGAGGACAGGCAGGAGAGCTGCTTCCTAGATGCCCCCCCCTGCTTCCGGTCCTGCCGCACGGAAGCAGAGTAGGCGCCTGCCGTTTTGGGCAGGCAGGTGCCTACTCAGCATTGATGAGGAACCTATGTCCGCGTGTCCACGGAGAGGGCCTGGCGTGCCATAGGTTCGCCATCACTGCCATAAGGCATTTCAGCTTTCTAAAGTGCTTTATCGGTGAGGAGTATCCTATTTTAACCCCCATTTATAAAACTGAGAAATCAACACTTGTATAATTTAATTATGGAACAGCCCCCCCAGCTGTCAGGGGAGATAACGGAAGTGGCAGGTGCTTGCCGCCTCACCCACACACCTCCAGCACCTCCACAGGCCTCAGACCCACTGGGAAACTCCACGCCTCCACAGGCCTCACCCACGGGGAAACTCCGTGCCTCCACTGGCTTCAGAACAGACGTTCGAGCAAGTGCGCACTAGCGCGCACACAGATTGAGAGGTGTTACAGTGTGAGATCTGGCTAAGGATGCAGTTCATAAGAGCTGCAGCTTTTGCAAGCACTTTTAAGATATATCCCCATTGAATACAGGTATGAAAATTGCATTTATTCACTGAGAGTATATGTACTAAGTAGTGATTTATGTTTTATATAAAAAACAAACAAAAAACAATCGTTTAAGCCTGCTACTCATACAGGGGAAAGGGGGCATTTAATGGATCTGCCATGCCAAGAATGAGGAAATCAGTGTTAGTGTCATGGCAGAAGCTGCTTGTCTAAATGTTTGTATTTGTCATTATACGCAGAGTTGTAAATTTGTGCAACTGAGTAGATGCACGTGTCCACCTTTTAGAGTTTGTCACTAAACCCAGCAGCTCTACACCAGCAGCTCTGGATTCTCTCCCAGGTGAAAGGATGCTACACATGCAAACACACATTTTGCTGCCCCCCAAAATGAGTCTTTGCCTGTGTGTCTTACAACCCCCCTTTTGTCCCTCTTACCCAACCTTTTTGCCCCTTTTGTGTCTTTTTCCCCATTTTAAGGATTATATCCACCTTTTGTGTTTTTATATCCCCTTTGTGGCTTCTTTTGTGTCTTATCCACCCTTTTAAATCTCACCCCCTTTAGTGTATATTATGATCTTTGTGCCCCTCTTGCGTTTCTTCCCCACTTTGTGCCTTTTAACTTCCCTCTGTCTCTTTTGCTCCCCCGTACATCAAGCAGCTTTGTGTCAGATTGGGTAGAGGAAGAAGAAAACCCTCTACCACGGTACAGATAGTGACAGTCAATAGGGGGGAGCTCTGTGTACCCTAACCTGCCAGTCCCTTTAAAACCCTTTAAAATCAACCCACCTTTACTGTGGCACCAATCTGTCTGATTGTGTTCCAGAGCACATGAAGTACAAGGAACTATGAGGGTCATTTTTAAAGTTAAAATAGCCAAACTGGATAAATTCTGTAAATCAGCGATGTTTCCCTTTGGCCTTAAATTTGAAAATCACTTTGAATTGACATTGAATTCTCACTTTAGTAAATAAGCCTGTACATTCTCTCCAAACCATTTCAGGTAAAATAGTTGTTGGTCATTTTTGTCACTGTTACAGATTGGGTTTGTTCATTATCTAGTCAAATATAAGTGATCGACTCTATCTTTGTGCAAACTTGGCTGTCAATAGAGAAATTTAAAAAAAGTTTTTATTTGTTAAGTACCGTATATACATTTTTTGTGCTGAAAAAACCCCACTTGTCTTATACTCGAGTCAATGTCTGTATTATGGCAACTTATATTGCCATAATACAGACCAGGACCGCCGGGCTCATTACAAGCCCAGCGTTCCTGTTGGGGGCTGGCAGAGAGCTGTTACTTACCTTTCCTGCAGCTCCTGTCAGCTCCCTTCACCTCCGTGCCGGTCAGCTCCCTTCTCCTCCACTGTAAGTCTCGCGAGAGCCGCGGGGTAAGAGCGTTGCCACGGGTTAAGAGCGTTGCCAGCTAACAAGCAGGGAGGGGGGACAAAAAAATATAAATACAAATTTAAATAATAATATAATAAAACATTTATAATATTAAAATAAAATAAAAATAATAATATTAAAAAAACACAAAATTTAATATTAAAATAATAATAATAATTTAAAAAAAAATGCCCACCCCCCCACCATGGTTACACACTCTGCATCACACACTGCATTCATACACACACACACACTGCATTCATACACACACACTGCATTCATACACACACTGCATTCATACACACTACACACACTGCATTCACACACACACACTCTGCATTATATACACACACACTGTATTCATTATATACACAAAATAAATATTAAATTAATGTAATTTTTTGGGGGATCTAATTTTATTTAGAAATTTACCAGTAGCTGCTGCACTTCCCACCCTAGTCTTATACTCGAGTCAATAAGTTTTCCCATTTTTGGGGGGTAAATATTAGGGGTCTCGACTTATATTCAGGTCGACTTATACTCGAGTATATACGGTACTGGTACTTAATTAAAAAAAAATAATAATTAAAATAAGAAATACTCATTCTAACAAAGTATTCAATAAATAGCCTTTTTTTTCTGCTATACCCTTGGTGCAAACCATTACACACTGCACATGGCTATGAATACCCCCTAGGGACCCACATGATATGAGCAGCCAGTGTGAACAGGTAGGTTAACGGTAAGTAGGTACAGGCAGGTAAACAGGTAGGTTAATGTGATGTTATCCTCCTGGGAACCGAGGAAAAAATTGTCTTGTCTTGATTTTTTTTCCTACCTAATTAAGTTCCCAGAATCCCAGCCTATCACATGACATATCACTGGAAAACCCAGGCTGTCCGCTTTACAATACAGCAGGGATTGATAGAGTAGCTCAAAATAATAAAAGGAGATGCATGTGAATGAAATGTCCAGTACAAAGGACACAAGTTAATGGGCTGGGTCTCAGGAGGATGTGTGGGCAAAGCCCATGTGAGGTCTGGTGGGACAAATGACAGCAGTGTTCTAGCGTTAATCCCAGCACATAATGTGAGCCAACAACTACACTCACATATCTGGCACTTCGAGGGTTAATTGTCTAGCCATTACAGATGGCAGCGTGAGGTTTAAGGCAGCATTAGAAGATGACTTTACAAAGTGTTAAAATATAATAAATATTAAATACTGTGAGATT